ATAAACAGAATTTTGTTATGTATACTCATAGCAATATCTGAGATTCAACTCCGTGATTGGTGCGACTTCGAGGGCCCCACTGGGATAGATTTCGACAGCTAAAAGTAGTGCGCCGGACTTTTCACCGCTTATGATTTGTTGATTGAATGTTGCTGGGCTTCATACGAAAACCGCGTACGGGTTTCGGCCCAATTTATTGGGCTTTGTCTAACATGCCATAGTGGGCTTTAGTGACTAGCGAGGAATGTCCAGTTGGGCTTGATAGTAAGATGAAAGCCCAATATAGAAGGGTAACTCTTTTCCTTAAGGGGGCGTTTGGTTCACGGAATCTTGGATTACCCCAAGTAATAGGATTACCTTCTGGAAGGTAATGTGAGATTTTGGGAATTTAAGATTACCATGTGTGTTTAGTTTGGATGGTGTAATATAATATTATCTTGTTTGCTTCAGAGTTTTATTTTAGGTTATATGGATCAATTTATAATAATACCCTCAATAATATATATATATATATATATATATATATATATATATATATATATATATGTGTGTGTGTGTGTGTGTGTGTGTGTGTGTGTGTGTGTGTGTGTGTTTATTTATATATCAAAGCTTAAATATTAAAAAAAAAAACTAAATACATAATACACATATGTATATTTGATTATATAAACATATATTAATTTCATTATTATTATTATTATATAAGGATTAGTTAACACCAATAGAATCAAATGATTAGTTAACAAGGGCAAAGTTGGAATAATTGAAGGTAATCTAAGATTACCTAAAAAATTGGGGGTAATCACATTACCTTGAAACATTACTGCCACATCAGCTTTCAGGTAATATAACATTACCTGGTAATCTCATAACTTGAACCAAACAAGGTAATATAACATTACCAGACTCAGATTACCTAGGTAATCTAAGATGACCTGAACCAAACATCCCCTAAATGAATTAAATCCTGTGCTCGGGAAATGGAGGATTTTTTTTTAAATGTAAAAAAAAAAAAAAAAAAACGAATGAAATTACTTGAAATGCGGATGCCTAAGAGCGTCCTTATCAGTGCATATTTAATAATTTTTTACCAAGTTTTTGCATAGTCAAAATCCAACCTTCAAGTTCTAAGCTAATGTAGCCTCTAGTTTAATCTAAAATTTTCTTCCTGCAAAAAAAATGATTTTGCAGGTTTTGTAGAAGATTAAAAAAAAAAAAAAAAAACGTGATGTGCGCAAGTGGAGCGCACTTCACGCCTCAAACGGGCGCGTCAGAGTGGCCGCCAGCTCGCGGCCACTATGACTAAAAAACCTTTTTTTTTGTTTTTTTTTTTTAATTGTCAGATTGTGTTATTTTCCTTTTTTTCTTCTACATTTTTTTTTTCTCTTTCCTAATCAAATTTACAAAAACTTCTTAAATACCACATTTTATGGATGTTCAAAGAGCATCAATAGTAATAGTTTTTATTTTTTGTTATTTTTTTATTTTGATGTGCCAACTAGGAGAGAGAAGATGGAGAAAACAATGGAAAGAAGAAAAAGTAATCTAAAGAAAATAATTTATTTTAAAAAAACATCACATTACGCGCCCGCGAGTGCATTACTGGGCGCGAATTTTATGCCAGACGCGTCTCTACTTCGATGCTTTTCCCCTTTTCTCTCACAAAGAGGGGCCCACAAAAAAAATCAACTTAACAGGATAAAAAATACATCTAAAAATCAATCACCACATTTGTTAAAAACATGGTTGTAGTAGGCGCTAGGCGCTAGTCGGGCGGCCGGATAGCGCCTAGGCGCTAGTCGGGCACCAAAAAAAAAAAAAAAAAATAGTGACAGACTTGTAGTTTGACAATTGTAATGAGGTTGTTTTCAACATTCAATCAAATAACACATCTAAATAAATGAAATAATGATAATTTATAAGTCATAACGTCATAATAATATTAAAATCAATAATTAATGAAAGACGACATCGGTCAAAATCGAACAAAATCAGACAAAATCGGTCAAAATCAGACGAAATCAGTCAAAAACGGTCAAAATCGAACGAAATCGGTCGACTCGGCCGAGTTTGGCCGCCTTTAGGCCTAAATGGCAAGTCTCGGTGCTGCCTAGCGTCTAAGCGGCCGAGTTTTGCAACCTTGGTTAAAAACCAAACAACTAGTTTTTACTATTCTAAAATCCATATAAAAATCACTATTAGAGATGCCCTAATGGTGTGAAGTTTTAGGGTTAGAATAACAAATTTTTAGTCTTTTAAAAAGTAAGCTCGATTAGTCAATTTGATAAGCCTCACGATCCCAGCATATTTGTTCAATTTACATAATTAGATGCAAATATTAACAATTACATGTCATGGTACTTGACATAGTGTACCATTTTTAGTAACTCATGACATATTAGTTTCTTATTAAAAAATAAAAAGAAAAACAAATACAATGAATATGAACCATAAAACCACATGCCACAACCCATATTGTAATATATTCAGTGTAACTGGCCACTTTTATTGTTATATAAAAGGATTGAGTTGAATTTGATATATTTGATTTTTGATTTGTTTTTATATATAAATGTAAATTCGATACGTTAATTAATAAAGTATTAAAATTATTTGAATTTGATTTTGATAAATTTAATGGTGTAGTTGAGTTTGGTATGCGTTTGAATCATTTTTAGGTACAGATGAAAGGTAAGGCAATTAAAATTGAGACATCACGCACATATAATGCATGAAAGCTCTAAAAGGGTGGTGTTTCTTTGTTTTATAAACATTTTCTTTGAAATTCACGAAATCTCATTTAGAAACTTTTTATGAGATTGTCTAATTTTCAATAAAATTGTTGTCATTTTGTAAGTAATAACAAGTTTGGAAATGTTTTTTCAGGGCTATGACCACTTTTTTTTTTTTTTTTTTTTCAATGTTACTGACTCTATTACATTGTAGTATCTATTCAGATATACTTTCTTAACATAATGACATACTTAAGCACAACTAGTCAACAATCTAATGAAGCACAAAGAATCAACAACACCTCTATTACATTGTAGGCTCGATATCATGACCTCCCACGTGGGAGAGGTCACTACATGCAATCTGAGTACAAGGTGCTTGACGTACCACATATTTTTTTTACCATAAACTTAGATTCTCTACCTCGATCCAGCCATGCAACTTAGTGGCAAGTTATAAATATCACGACACGTGGCGTCACTGCACCGCCACCGAGCTCGTTGACTGCATGCATAACACGTATCAACCATGCCGAGAGCTCGACATGTGTCTTCTCCCATCATTTATAAATAGTGCATTAAATACTTGAAGGGAGGATTTTTTTAGCATTTTCTCTCTAAAACCCTTATAAGCTCAGGACCCTCCGACCATCTATCATAACCACCCAAGTTGCTGTGCTATAATTTATACTCGTATTAGTATACCTGAGAGTATATACTATGTCAAGTGCTATACTTAAAAGAAAAAAAAAACAACAACTAGTAATATATAATTAATATTTATACATATTTTTACAGAAATATTTATTAATGTTACCCTTATATTTTAATATTTCAACACAATATTTGCCTTTTTTTCGAAAGGCCAGGAGCAATGCATGCATTTATTTATTTCGGAATGAACACTTCGGACAATAGTTGACCAGAAAATTAGATGACAGGACCAACTGTGATTCGCGTATAATAGTCATGGGATCAAAAATAAAATTTATTATACCAAAAACAAAGATATACCCTAAATAGTCCATATAATTTATAAAACAATTTGAAATAATATATTGAGTCCAACTTAATTAATGATGATAAAATTAAGGAAAAATTACACTTTTTCCCCCTGTGTTATATGTTTATAGCACTTTTTTCCCCTGAGTTATTCATGCATTCACATTTGCCCCCTCAATTATTATAAAAGTAGCAGTTTTTCCCCCTGATAATATTAAATGGACGTTTCTACCCTTAAAACAAATATTTTATTTATTTCTCTTCTTCCACAAATTATTGCTTATACGTAGGGATGACCACGGTTCGGTTCGAACTGAACCAAACACTATAGCAATCAAATTAAAAAATTTTGGTTATGATTCATAACATAACCCAATATTTGGGTTTCCGTTTATTAAAATCGTGAACTGGAAAAAAATGGATTCTGAACCGTGAATCGGAGGTTCAAATCGGAACAACTACTAGCAATAGCTTAAATTAGAATTATAATATTTGCAAATAGTGTATATTTTTCCCCACATTTATATTGACTCTCACATATAAGTATATATAATCGCGGTTTGAGTTTTATTTTGAACCGTCGGTTCACGATTTTGGATCCAATTTGAACGATTGATTCAAACTTTCTTTTAAAATTTTATTTTTTATTTTTAAAATATTCTAAATTCAATACTTAATGTATTTTATTTTTTCAAATCATGGTTATAATTTGTTGGAGAAGAAAAATAAATAAAATATTTATTTTAAGGGTAAATATGTCCATTTAATATATCAGGGAAAAAACTGCCACTTAAATAATTTAGGGGAAAAAAATTTTATAAGTATATAACAAAGGGAGAAAAAGTGCCATTTTCTCTAAAATTAAAATACAAGATGATTTTTTTATAGAATAAAATAAAATTGAACTACATATTTAATGAGATTTGTCGACTCTTATTTTTATCGACATTATTAATGTTGGTCAATTAGATATTCAAGATTTTTTTAATACCGTTTTCTTTCTAATTCCATATATATGATATGATTATTTGTTTACCAAATTATTAGCCCTTTTTTTTTTTGTGACGTGAAAAATTACGTCTATTATTTGAATGTGTGCATTGCGTAAAATCTAATTACTATAATCAGTTTCAATCAAACCCTTAAAATCTTTGCACTCAAACCCACGTTACGGAATTGCAAAGGGCATATGAAAATTGGGTTCTTTTATTAATATATATATATATATATATATATATTATTTATTTACGATAGTTTAAGGAGGCCACTTTCTTCGTACCCCCTGCCACTCGCCCCGTATTCTTCTCCACCATCTCTCTACCTTTCTTTTTCGTTTGATTTTTATTTAATTTTTGCCCTATTCTATTCTCTATCACTTTGATTTTCCCTTTCGTTTACAGTACACAATAAATTGTTGGTTGCTAGGCAGGGCAGGGGGACGTGCCCACTGACACCTTTCTTCCATAGCCTAAAACCTGGTGGTATTGGTAACTCGCACCCCATTTATATACACACACACATATATATATCACCTCACCTGCAACAATTCCTTTTGGTCAAACCAAATAATTGTGCTCTAATTTGACACAAAATCAACACTCACTGCAAATTTTTTTAAGGCTTTCTCCGATGCTAAGGTACATTACCCTTACCCTACTCTCAACCCTTTCTCCATGGCTGTAATTTCTATTCATTTTTTATTTTTATTTTTTTTGCAATTACGTGTGTGGGTGTATATGCACACACTAGTTATGTTGTGCACAGGGTATATAGATACATGAATGTGTATGTATATGTGTAACATTTTGTGGGCAGCCATGGTCTTGGACCCTATTGCTCTTCATTGCTGCCACTAAAGGACAAAAGGGATGCTGATTAGTGATTAGTGATTGTTCCGTGTATATTTTTTTATTTTTCTAAAGTGTTGGTCTAGAGATTCTTAGGACATGCACGATTGAGGGAAGTTTTGATTTTGGGGGAGTTAAAGTATTCATCTTTTGCATTTTTTCGATTTGGACCCACCTCTGAAATTTGTGTCTAGGCGTGGGTTGTGGGTTGATTTGTGATCTGGGGAATAAAAAACCAGTCTTGATTCAGTTAGGGTTTTTGTCACTGCTACTGCTAAGTGCTAATCAGCGCAATGCAGAGTAAGTAACTAGTCAGTTTACTGGATTTGAGGGGTTTTTCATCAAGCAATTAACGTCCCAAAGTGTGTGTAAGTTGCAGTTTTGATTAGAGACTGTGAACCCATGCGCTTTATGGTCCTTTTGAGCAGTTACTACAATCTCTATAAGATATATGTATGTATCTCTGCATGTTTGATATGTGATGTTAATGTGGGTGTTATCTATATCTAATTATACAGAGTATTTTACAAATGCATAATTGATTCAGAGCTAAAATCTGGGCACATAAGATTATCCAGTTATATTATAATTGCACTTCTGGCTTCTTTACTATAGTGAAAGTTCCACATTTGCTTTCCAACTATCAATTTAACCAAATTTAATGTTTTCTATTAAATAAACTATTTTTAGTCCAAAATGTTCAAAGTAATCCCTCTTATAGAGTTGCAGAAGGGTAGAGTTTGGTGAAGGTGAGAGTATTTCGGAAATGTTAGAGAAAAGAGTGGTCAGTTTGGGAATGTTGAGTTCTAAATTTGGTCAATTTGATAATTGAGGATTACCTGTGAAAATTCTACTTTAGGTGAGCGATTAAGTTAATACTGACTTGGAAACTAATTTCGAGTACTCAAAATTGTACTTTAGGTGGGAGATTATAAGTTAGGTGAGCGATTATAAGTTAATACTGATTTGGAAACTAATTTTGAGCACGTAAGGTTGCATTTAATTTAACGCGTTTTTTATTTATTGTACCTTGGACCTTTTGACTTTAACGCACAGCTGAGCGAATTGTGAGATAAACACTGAATCATTTAATACCACAAACCAGGTATAATATGATGATATTGATTGATTGAATCAGGAGCATAGTTGTTTCTTTGATCGCAATTTAGTTTGAGTTAGCAATATGGTTTTTGTTTTTCCATGAAATTATGCTTAGTTGTAACCCCTTAAGCAAACATGTATTTTAAGAACTTATTTTGATCCCCAGCCATGGAAAGTATATCGAAGTAAGTTTTTGTCCACTCCTCTTTACTCCATTTCCTTCTGTGTTGCCATATTACTACACTTTCTAACCGGAGCTTCCATATACCTACGTCATTTGTCAGTCATGCTTTAACCATCGTAGAGCTTGTTTGGCTAACTTATGTACTTGTACACTGTGGGATCAATTGGTTTGAGGGGTTATTGTTAATAATAACATCATTATTATTATTATTATTGTTATTATTATTATGCGTCCGACTAATAACCCCCCTAGTCCACCGATTGGGTCAACTAGAGAGTTGTGAGATTCAGATTGAAAACAAACATAGATTGAAATAGATTATGAACTTGTTTTGCCTAACTTGAGCTTCTTTTAAAAGAGATTTCAAATAAAAGCCTCGCCTTTGGGGTTTCTTGAAAAAGAGGCGTTTTTCTTACCTTACAAGCCTTTTTATATTTTTAGGGGTCAATTAGTTGAAAGGAGGATTTAATCCCTTTCACTATTGGTGAAGGGACGGGATTAGCATCCCTTACCCTCACTTTCCTTTATCAAAAACGTTTTGTTGGATTAGGTGGGCTGATCTTATTTTTTACGTATTCAATTCTAATATGACCATTTCTGTTCTTTTTCGTTCATCGTAACATTCTCATATGACCAGTTGTTGCATGATGATCAAGAATAAATTTCTTCCTTTTTCACTTTTTAGTATAATATATTCTCCTTTCCTTCATGTCTCTTTTCTTGGCAAAAGATAAGCCTTGTTATGCAGACGAGATTTCTAATGCTTCTAATTTGGAAGTGTAGTGAGTAATTTCAAATACTTTTTTAGTCCAACAGGTCTATTTCCATTTCTTAAGCTGTTTACATTTTCACTTATGCTTAATTTGCCATTGACTTTGGGAAAAAATTTCTTGACTTGCTATACTATAATTTTTGTTTTTGTCAGAATGCATGACTTCATTTTACTTTTGCATAATGTCATGTAGATTACTTTACATTTTTCAACAAGATTTTATTCGTGCTATTGCTCTTTAACCAGTGTCATCATTGGAACATGGATCATATTCTACAGATTGTGCACTTGTAAAAGTGGATAGGTGTTGTGTAGTAGTGAAGATTCTGGTCTGGAACTATGGAAGTGCTTTCCCACTCTGGTGTACATTATGTTGGAGAATCTGATTGCGCTCAAGAGGATGTGGGAGCGAGTCTCGTGCATGGTGAAGAACCAAATTGTGTGAAACTCACAGCAGAAGTTCAAACCGCAGATCTGAAAGTTGATGGCATGGTAATTAATGTGGAAGGGACTCAGAAGGAAACACGAGATGGAGTTCAATGGACCGTTGAGGCCATGCAGACTTCTGAAGAGCAATTTACTGCGAATGCATATCATGAATTTGAGGAGGATGGCCCAAAGTTGTCCTCTGATTCCCATGATTCCGAAGATGAAAACATAGAGATACAGGCTCATGCTGCTGGTCCTGGGCTGGCCGTGGAAAGCTCTAAGCCATTTCTAAATGCAAATGAAAGTGGGAACCCGAATGATAACCAAGAAGGGGAAACCAAGCTATGTGAACCTCCATTGCTAGAAAGAGATGAACCTCTAGCAGTATGGGTAAAGGTACAAATTACTTTTGTTCATTATATTTGTACCTCTTGCAACTTCTGTATAACCTTTATATATGAAAACAGTGTTGAAATTGTACTTTATCGTAAAACTCAAGTTCTTTTTGTGTCTTAAAACCTATTTGAGAGGAAAACATAATTTCCTCAAACTTTAATTGTTCATTCACACACAAAGACACACATATGTATGTTGCCCTCTTAAAGATATTTGTATTAACTCTTCTGCATATAATTTTGCACAGTGGAGGGGTAAGTGGCAAGCAGGAATCAAATGTGCGAGAGCAGACTGGCCATTGTCAACTGTGAGAGCAAAACCAACCCATGACAGGAAAAAGTATCTTGTGATATTCTTTCCTCGGACCCGGAATTTTTCATGGGCAGATGTGCTTCTTGTTTGCCCGATTAATGAATTTCCACAGCCCATTGCATATAAGACACATAAGGTTGGAGTTAAGATGGTTAATGACCTGACTCTTTCTCATCGTTTTATCATGCAAAAGCTTGCTGTAGGCATACTGAATATCTTCGATCAATTACACAGAGAGGTTTGCTTTCAAAGCTTTATTTTTATTTATATATATGGTTTGCTTATATATTCCATACTGCTTTTCTATTCCTATCATTTATAATTATAATTATAATTATATTTTATTTATTTAATTTTTAAACTTGTGATGTTTCTCTCTACTCATTTAGGCTCTAGTGGAGACTGCTCGCAATGTGATGGTCTGGAAGGAATTTGCAATGGAGGCTTCCCGATGTAAAGACTATCCTGATATTGGAAGGATGCTTTTGAAATTTCAAGATGTAAAATCTCCCTCTGTGAATGAAATATATATATATATATATATATATATATATATATATATATATATATAGTCCTGTTTTGCTTCCTTAGAATTTTCTTCTGCCTAGATAATAATTCCCTTCCTCTGCAGATGATACTGCCACATTACAAAACTTCACATTGGCGGGAAAACTCACTGCAGTCTTGGGTTCAACAGTGTCAGAATGCAAACAATGCTGAAGCCGCTGAAATACTGAAGGAAGTAAGTTTCTGGCACGTGACTTTTTTCCTTGCACCTCACCTTGTCAATATATTTTTGTACTTACTATTTGAAAATCTCCATATACTTATTAATGGAAGAATTGCCTATTTATATTTGTATGTGTGCATATCTTAATTCTTATATTATGCATTAAGGCATTGTTTCTCTTTTAGCTGGACCATTTGTATAGATCTTGCTTTTGAGGTGAATACACTTTGTTTTTATCGTGTCTCATGTACACTGGTAGTTTAACTAGTCTTGCTTTATTAGTTTCTCTCAACACAGAAACTGTATGAAATTTGAACAGCTGACTGCAATCATTTGTGAAAAAATGGAGTTTTGATCAAATTGAATGTTATTTACTAACATGATTACCTTCTAGGAATTGGTTGATGCTATTCTTTGGAATGACATAAATTTACTTCCGAGTGATTCTGCACATCTTGAACTTAGCATTGAATGGAAGACTTGCAAACATGAGGTTATGAAATGGTTTTCGGTTTCACATCCTGTATCCACTAGTGGAGACCTGCAAAAATCAACTTCTGATAGCCCATTGTCGGTGGGTCTACAGCAGAGCAAGAAAAGGCCCAAGCTTGAAGTTCGGCGTGCTGATACAAATACTTCACAAGTGGATTCTCAGGGGCATGAAGCTATAACTCTGATTGCTTCTGGTTTCTTTAATGGCCGTGATACTGTGGATAATACTGCATCATTTGATTCTGAGCATACTAAAGGTGATACTTCTCTTGGGGAAGCTCCTCCTACTGGATCTCCTGGTAGTCTTAATGATAGATGGGGTGATATCATTGTTGAACCCGAAAATTCTGAGGTCATTCATACGAAAGATGTTGAATTGACTCCTATTGATGGGATTGTTACTACTAAATCTTTTGATCACAGCAATAAGAATCGCCAATGCATAGCATTCATTGAGGCTAAGGGAAGGCAATGTGTGAGATGGGCAAATGATGGTGATGTTTATTGTTGTGTTCATTTGGCTTCCCGTTTTGCAAGTAACTCTTCAAAGACTGAAGCAACGCCACCTGTTGAAGCAGGAATGTGTGAAGGTACAACTGTACTTGGGACTAAATGCAAGCATCGGTCTCTTCATGGTTCTTCTTTCTGTAAGAAGCATAGGCCCAAGGGTGATACAAATTTGTCCTTTAGTTCACCCGAGAATAAACTTAAGAGAAAACATGATGACAGCATTGATGTGTCACAGACTTCAAATTGCAAAGACATTGTCGTAGCTGGTGGATATGAACTTCCACTTGATGTGGATCCCATCTCAGTTATGGGCGGGGATTCCTTCAAAGGAAACAGCTTAATTCGAATGCCTGAGTATCATCTGAATGAGTATAACGATACTGAATTTCTGTGCATAGGTTCGTGGCCCCAAGATGGTGAACCTTGTTTAGAAAGTGCAAAGCGGCATTCACTATACTGTGACAAACATCTGCCAAGCTGGCTCAAGCGTGCAAGGGATGGTAAGAGTAGGATAATCTCAAAGGAGGTGTTCATAGAGATCCTTAAGAGTTGTCATTCAAGGGAGCAAAAGTTGTACTTACATCAAGCTTGTGAGCTGTTCTATCGGCTATTCAAAAGTGTTCTGTCCAGGAGAAATCCAGTGCCAAAAGAAGTCCAATTTCAGTGGGCCATATCTGAAGCTTCTAAAGACACGAGAGTAAGGGAATTCTTAGTGAAATTGGTTTACAGTGAGAAAGAAAGGCTCAAAAGGCTCTGGGGCTTTGCCTTTAGTGAAAATATGCAAGATTTCTCCTCTAACACAGGATCAGTTCCTATCTCAGTTTCTAATGATAACAATGAGGATGATGAGAATGTCATTAGGTGCAAAATTTGCTCGGGAACATTTTTGAATGACCAAGCACTTGGTAGACACTGGATGGATAATCATACTAAGGAAGCTCAATGGCTATTCAGGGGTTATGTTTGTGCAATATGCCTTGATTCGTTTACTAACAAAAAGGTTTTGGAATCTCATGTGCAGGAGAGGCACCATGTGGAATTTGTTGAGCAGTGCATGCTTTTCCAGTGCATTCCTTGTAGTAGCCATTTTGGTAACCAAGAGCAGTTATGGTCTCATGTGCTTTCTGTACATCCTGCAAACTTCAGGTCGTCAAATGCTCCTCAACATCATAATTTTTCTGGAAGTGAAGATTTCAATGTTGAGCAGGGCAGGTCAGTGCCTGTAGAAAATATCAACTCTGAGGATCAGTCAAGTGTTCGAAAATTCATCTGTAAATTTTGTGGCCTGAAGTTTGATTTGTTACCTGATCTTGGTCGTCATCACCAAGCTGCTCATATGGGCCCAACATCTGTCAGTTCTCGTCTCTCAAAGAGAGGCATCCGTTTTTATGCTTATAAATTGAAATCTGGGAGGCTTACCCGTCCAAAATTTAAGAAAAGTCTAGCTTCTGCAGCATCATATCGAATTAGGAGCAGGAGTGCACAGAATATGAAAAAACGCATCCAGTCATCAAATTTAGTTGGTACTGGGGAACTCGGAGCTCGTTCTAGTGTACTTGAGGCATCTACTCCTGACAAGTTGGTAGATAATCAGTGCTTAGCTATTGCAAAGATATTATTTACCGAGACCAAGAAAACAAAGCCACGCCCGAATAATTCGGATATCTTATCAGTGGCTCGATCAGTTTGCTGCAGAGTAAGCCTCAAAGCTTCATTAGAGGCAAAGTATGGATCCTTGCCAGAACGCATATATCTGAAGGCAGCCAAACTTTGCAGTGAGCAAAATATCCTAGTAAATTGGCACCTAGATGGATTTATTTGCCCGAATGGATGTGGACCATTTGTTGATCCACACATGCCCGCTTTGGTTCCCCTCCCCAATTGCTTGAATAGACCGAGGTATTCAACGCCTAATGCTGTCGTAAGTGAATGGAAATTGGATGAGTCTCACTATGTCATTGACTCCGAACAGATCAGGCATGAGCCCTCAGATAGAACAATCATTTTGTGTGATGACATTAGTTTCGGACAGGAATCAGTTCCAATTACTTGTGTGATGGAGGACAACCTTCTCGGCTCCCTCCATATCCTTCCAGATGATTCTGATGGTCAAATTACAGCAAATTCTCTGCCTTGGGACAGCTTTAGTTACATAACAAAGCCTCTTCTAGATCAATCACTGCAACTTGATATTGATGTAAGTTTATCTGACTTTTTATTATTATTTAATTTTGAAACAAACAAAAATTTATCTGGAAATATGGTGCATTTCATTGTTGCTGGCTTGCTGACATGATATAAACAACAAGCAGTTGAGTTGTTAAGTCCATCGCTCTTTCACTTTCTCACACTTGCTGTCTCTCTCTCTCTCATTTCTTTCGTTCCGAAGCAGAGTTCACAATTAGGGTGTTCTTGTCCCAGTTCTATGTGCTCTTCTCAAACCTGTGATCATGTTTATCTTTTTGACAACGACTACGAGGATGCAAAAGACATTTATGGCCAGCCAATGCATGGAAGGTTCCCCTATGATGAGAGAGGACGAGTCATTTTGGAGGTAAACGTTATATTCTTCTCTATGTAATATCTAATTATTGTTTAATTGTATGTGCTGTTCTAATCGTACTGAACATCAGTAGTAGAAAAGTTAACGTTGCTGACTTGTTTTATTGTTTTATATTTGTGAAGTCTGGATTCTTGGTCTACTATTTTCAATTTTATTTATCTTGATAAGCCTAGATTCTTTGTCTATCTTCATTCATTTTCTGCTCAATAGTCCAGTTAATGAAGAACTTCTTTATAATTGCTTGTGGATCTATATACTATAGGTTCTGCGATTCTTGCTTGAGTAAATAGTTTCCCCCACGTAATGTTTGCATTAAGTGTAATATGGTCATTTTAATTTAAAATTTACAGTTTCATTACTGATGTTAAATTTCAATATTTGGGATTCTATTTCACTGAAGTTGACTGTCAAAGAATAGAAAGGGGAATACAGTTTCATTACCTTGAAAATGGGCGTGACGATTTAAAAACGAAAGAAACATTAACTCTTGAAAATGTTGATGACCATATTGTAACTTAACCCAAACATTGAGTATCAAAACAATTTACCCGGCTTTCCTTGATGGCTATAAAAGCTTCATTCTGTTAGTTATCAATAAATTTGTGCCATAACCTCACTTTTCATCGAATTTGCAGGAGGGATACCTAGTTTATGAGTGCAACCAGTGGTGTTGCTGTGATAAATCTTGTAAGAACAGGGTTTTGCAGAATGGTGTTCAAGTGAAGCTTGAGATATTCAAAACTGATACAAAGGTAACAATTCCCTTTTATCTGAAATTCTGAATGAATTCAAAAATTTAACCTTTTTATTTATTTCAATCACATTGGTTAATAGGGTTGGGCAGTGAGGGCAAGAGAAGCAATCCTGCGTGGTACATTTGTGTGTGAGTTTATTGGTGAGGTAATCGATGAGCAGGAGGCAAATAGGAGACGTAGTAGGTTTGTATGTCGTCCAATCTACTTTCCTTTTTTCTTTACGATAATTTGGTATTATTTGCCTTTTTGCCTTTGATTCTTACTTGCGCTCGACAAATAGGTATGGCAGAGAAGGTTGTGCGTATTTATTGGAGATTGATACACACATTAATGATATGAGCAGACTGGTTGAGGGGCAGTCTCCGTATGTAATTGATGCCACTAATTATGGTAATGTTTCCCGTTACATCAATCACAGGTGAGGAGCCTTTATCTCGACAACTGATTTTGGTTTAGACAGCTTTCATATTCACGTGTACTGAACCTTTTACGTTATCATTGGTGCTTCTAGCTGCTCGCCAAATCTTGTGAATCACCAAGTTCTTGTGGAAAGCATGGATTATCAACTTGCACATATTGGTCTTTATGCTGGTCGAGATGTAAGTGTCGGTCTTTTTCTCTTTTTTGATGGTCTAAATTTGCAAAATCATTTTACCGAGACTATATACTTGGGTTGTCACCCTTGTTTGCAGATACTCGCGGGTGAAGAGCTGACATTTGATTATCGCTACAAACCATTGGCTGGGGAAGGGATTCCGTGCCTCTGTGGATCTTCAAATTGCAGGGGTCGTCTTTACTAAGTTAAATCGTTTTTAACTTAACGAGCTGTACATACCTATCGACTAGAAACGAGATTTTTAGACTAGGATGGAAGATTTCTTGAAACATCTGAAGAGTTGGAACCCTTTTCCATACATGATGATTAGCTTTAATTATGAATGCAAAATTTTACAAAATTTACATGTGATGATGAACACAGGAAAGATCTGCAGGTAGTATCAGAACTTCATCTCCTGCCTGTGGACCACAAAGAAAGCAGAACATAGCCCATAGCTCACCACCACCAAGGTTAGCATTCCTGCAATTCGAAAACCAGACTGTTAGCTTGGCTTAAGTGAAAACCGGGTTTTAAATTTTAATCGAGCAATTGAACATACCATAGTCGAGATGTTTTGGAGTTGAGTTTCTTAGGTGTAAACACATAGAGCTGATAACCAGTCCACTTCCCAGCTTCTCTCTCACAGCCCTCTCCCTCATATCCATTGACCATAGCCCAACTATCCCATTATTCTGATCAAGAATGCTTAGTTTGATGAACAGTATAATCCCCAGCCAAAATGTACATTTTGCTAGTTTTCTGACTGCCATCAGGTTGCTCGCCCCATTGACCGAGTTCACAATGGTTGCACTCGAGTATAGAGGGATCCACAGGTACCGATCTAGTACAGTAGACAGATCATTTATAACATCATAAAAAACATACTAGTAAGGATTGATTCGGGTCTCTACCTGTCCCTGTCCTAGAATCTCGATGAAAGACATCATCGAAAACATAATAGGACGAATAGGATGTAGATGGGTTTGGGTTTGAATAACTTACCAGGATCATTCAACTGGAAAGATGCAGACATTGCAAAAAGGAAAGCCATTAGGATTGAACACACCCTGAAGACTGATAACCCTCCAACCATTTTCTCAAACACACATGTTTGGTTTGGGATTCTTGAAGTTATATAATCCCATATGTTAATTTTTTATTGTCCAATCCAAAACCCAGACAGGAAATTCTGGGTTCAAATCAAGATTCAAACATATGCAGTTTGGAAAGTCAAAGGTTGCATTTTTATTTTTTATTTTTTACTGTGTTCAACCAAGAAGATTAGATGGTAAATGGGTGGATCTACTTGACTGTTCAGTCTGGGTTTGGTCATAGGGCTGTCAAGTGTCAAGTGGTCCTAAGAAATTCAATCTTGGATGCACTATTCACTGTCTGGAGATGAATGCCAACAAGGTGGTCCTCATCACAAAAGTTGTGCCATCAATACCCAAAAAAAAAAAATCGTAAATAAAAAACACAAGTCATGATTACACCTATACGACACCTGTTCGAGATTAAAGTTCAGCTATACATAATTTCCGATCATAGATAACACGCTCAAACCGAGAAATAGCTCTATGTTATAGGTACCCAAGGGCAATCAAGTGAAAAAAAAAATATAGTATGTTATTTTAAGTGAATAAAATTAAAAAATTAAAAAAAAAATAAAAAGGGAAAGAAATTATAAGGGTATTTGTGTGAGAAATTTGGGTTGAAATTATAAAAAGCCCAACAGGACCATCTTTTGGATTCCATAATTGGGGCCCGCAAACAGGGTGCCATTGTTTGATGTTTCCCACTGTCATTCTCAGCGTGCCCAAACAGCACAGGGCCGGATTCAAACCTCGAGGACTTGTCGTCAAAAGATTGATTCAAAGATCATTCTCGTCCATTAAATTCTGGTTTTGGGGTGGAGAGAAATTAGAATGTTGGATACTGGTTAGAGGAAATTAATAAAGCAAGAGATTCCTAATATAATGTTGTCGTAAGAATATTCTCTATCCCATTGTTTAAAGGTGTTGGATATATAGTTTTTCATTAGTGTAGATAGAGCGATTTAACATGAGAAATTATATTGAAATTGATGAAAAAAAGAGAGTTTAATGGGTTAATTAAACAACAAAAATATTTTTGATAGAGACAGAGTAGGTCATAAATTTAATGGGTTGCCTGTACTGCCCTTGGCATCAATTTCTTGTCTAAATTATGGGGCCAAGCAAGACAAAAAAAGTATTACAAGTACTGAGGATAAGCCAATTCATGACACAGGCATATCATATCCTCTGATATTAGGTCCAGTCCCGGTCTTAATCCTTGCCCTTTCACCCAGGGACAACCACATAAAAAATGTTGAACATTAATATTTAATGTGGTAATAACTATTCACCACTTGTAACATAACCTTATACCACGTTTTTCAATATGTAATAGGTTTTTTTTTTTTAAAGATAAAGTTTGTAGTTGCTATTCGAACGTATTGAGTTTGTCTCATATATAAGGATTACGAATATGAGTTTATCCCATATCAGGAATATGAGTGAAACGGGTAGACTAATTGTACATGATTATATTAGATGTCTATAATATATTGGTTGTATTACCACTATCACCATCACTATGAATAAAAGAATAGTTTTACTTCGGTGAAGGTAGGCACATTGTCCTATCCTACCTAAAGAGGTAAACCAACATAGATTGTCCATAGCTGATCGGTTCAAACCAAGAAGGCCATCCAATAGGAATTTCTCATGGGAAGTTGAACTTGGAACTTTATGGTTATCAAGCTAAACATAACACTAGTATAGGCTTGGCAACATCATCAAGTGTGAATATATCGCTGTCGGGAGTTGTGTGAAGTTAGCAGGTATCCATCATGTGGATTCTATGTTTCAAAAACAAGACATTATATTATCTGATCTGATGAGAGTAAACATTGGGAAAGCATCTAGGTAGACATTAGGTGAAGGGTAATTGTTGCTTTGGAGACAATAATTGTTTTGAATTGTATTCCAAGTACTCTAATTATGGCATGTGTTGTCATAATAGGTAACAACAACAAACTCACCATATTCATATTACAAGCAAAAGAGGTTTCATGGGACAACGACCACCTCTTTTCAGTGGTTGTTTTCCTTCGTTTTCAGTACCTTATTCAAACCTTTAATTTAATAATCCGATTTCTCGACTTTGCTATACTATATCTTGAACCCAGTAATGTACTCGAGCCAAAATTCATAAACAAGCTAAGATAAAATAAATGTATACGGTAAAAATAATGAGTAGACGACCAAAAAAATGTACTGCTACTACTACAACTATACAATTACAGTTACAGTAAATGTCATTCATAGTTATATGCTATCCTTTGTTATTAATTATATGTATTTGTCTAGATGAATATATATATGATTGACACAAGAAGCAATAACTACGAAGAATAATATATGCGGGTTTTTCTCTTCGCCCCAAAAAAAAAAAAGAAGAATAATATAATTTAATTGTCCAAATTTTTAAGATTTATGTGGATGGTTTTTTCAATCTGTATAAATTAATCCGCATGCAGCAGCCATGCATGCATGCATGCATGCGCAGAACTACGGCCATGCATCTAGTCGAAAAAATGTGTCTTCTCCGGCAAGTTTCCGTCGTGGCGCAACCCCAGGGTGAGCGACACATCGCCGGCGGCTGCTGCGGCGGCAGCACTAGTCCCGAACCTGATGAGCGTGGAGGGCCCAATGTCAGAAGGGGCGCCAAAACTGGCGCTGAGAACGGCGGGGAAAGACTGGGCGGCCGGAAGCGCGGCCGAGGAGGATTTGGATTGGGTTTGGGAGAAGCAGCGTTGGGTGTTGATTGCGAGGAGTGAAGGGTCGCTTTCACGGTCATTGAATTCGGATCTTTTGCCTGTTGGGGCTGTCGTTGTGGGCGTAATTGACGCGGTTGTGACAGCGGCAGCGGCAGCGGGTGGTGGGAGTGGGGGTGGGGGAGAATTGCTACTATTAGGCGGTGACATTTGTGCAGTATTATTATTTCCACTGTTGGGACTGTCCTGAATTTTCTCCCCATCTTCATCTTCTTCCTGGGCTTCTTGCTGGTACATCTCTTCTACCATGGGTTTCCACAACCGCACCCTGGCATTAATGAACCAGTTCGACACCTGAAATACAATCCAAACTTTATTATAACCTACTTTGTTACACCACATTAATTACTACATGCTACCTTTTAAGGTTTAGGACATTGTAGCACGCACGACCTTAACTCAATGGTTCAGTAGGCAGTATTTGAAAAAAGAGCGACAGCAGGGGATTGTGCCCAAAGTGAACAGTGGGCAGATCCCTTGTGCGCATCAGCATTTGGCTCTGGGTGCGTTGAGCCCTGACGGCGACAGTGTTGGGAATTGGGATTATGTCCATAGTGGACAGATCCCGGACACATGAAAGTAAATTAGTGTAAGGATTACAAGGTGGTAAACCAGCCTAGCTTGCCCTTGACTCAAACTAACTATAGGTTGCTCTGCTGAGAGTTAACTTGTAACTTGTGGTTACTAAGTTAACAACCTGACTAACTTAGTTAGGATTATGAATGTGCATGTATCTTTTTATACTGCACTGATATTAGGTCACGGTAAAAAGTTTCATACACTGATATAATTACAGTGGGTGCATACTCTAGCTAGCTAGCTGCCTGCTGCTCAATAAATAGTACTACTTACATGCAGCAAATGATATATATAATATTTATGGCATTCATATTTATGTTCACGTACAGTCTTAAATGCAGGGTTTGGCAACGTGTGATCAGACACGATTCATGGGGCATTCAAATTCAATTCAATTAAAGCGCTAGCTATAGACTATAGTCATGATGTCTCATCTCAAAAAAAAAAAAGTACTAATTGCTCAGACTCACACTATTCCTAAACAGACTACTGCTGTTCATCTCTCCCAGAATGCATGTTTTATAGGAATCCAAACACATGACATGAAACAAACCCAAACAGTCCCTGAGGTTGCCTTTTTTCTTTCCGGAGGACAAGAAACTGGAGAAGTAAAACACTACAACCTAAGTTTGTACGATGAATAATAATATAACGATATACCCACCGTATTATAGTCCCGTTGTCACACTATTAGTTGAGCCGGAATATATGTAGCATACCTGGTTACGGGAGAGACCGGTCTGTCGAGCCAATAGGTGTTTATCTGCATCGCTTGGGTACCTGGGAAAAAGACCGCCAGGAAATGACATCAGATCCCTACCTAAACAATTTTTTTTTTTTTTTTTTTTTTTTTTTAACTCCAATTACATTGGTCTGACTATTAAGTTGGTAATTACAAAGTTACAAATTCTACTCCCTATTGAACTTCTTGATTTGAACTGTTGTTACGAGTAATTTAGTCTGGTTTACCTCAAGGGTTTTCTAGTTATTTAAAAAAAAAAAATTATTTTGGCTGTGCATGAAGGGGCGTGAGAATCTAAGACCATAAGCAATGTGGTCTCAGGACAGCAGATCAGAGATATAGCAGAAGTAAAGAGGACAGGATGACAACTGATGCATGCCCTCTGATCTCTATTTTTTTTTTTTTTTTTTCATTATTAACAACAACATTATATATAGATTCTCGTACTACTATGTATGAATTAAAACAAATGGTTTTTCATGGGGGCAATCATTTTAATTTTCTGTGAAACCATTTTGAATGTTTGACTTATTCATAGGATTAAGGCTAGCTATATATATGATTATGTATAATAATTAGTGGTTAGGTTAATAGGGCTTCTTTTTTTCCTTTGTTCAAATGCATGCAAAGGTCAGAGTGACTTGTAGTGGGGTATCTGATCCCAAGAGAGAAGGGGAGAAAAAGAATAAAGTGGTGATAAACAAGTGAAAGGCATAAACTTTTTCAGCTTTTTAAATTTAATTTAATTATTTTTGATTATTTTAGTGTGGAGACAACATAAAAACTGCTCGAAATTGCAGCTGCTTTAATCACTGTCCGGTTCTAGAAATGATAAAAAAATGGTGACAAGAAGGAAATTCACAACGACTATTTAAGAATCTGTACTGAATAAATTTTATTTTATGATAAAAGATTAATAGGCTGTTTTTATTGAAAGTCAAAATCGTCTGACCAATTTGACTAGGTTGTCTTTATACTCAATCCTAGCTCATTACTCTAATAATTATGTAATAATTTTCTTCAATTCCTCTACAATTTTACCAATGACCCAGAAACACGTAAAATACTTTTTAACGAAAATATAATACTTACGGGTGGAGAAAGTGCTCGAAGAGCCAAGCCCGTAAGATGTTGACGGAGCGTTCGGGCAGGCCTCGTTGAGGTCGCCAAGCTTCTTGTTCCATCATCCCCATTTGATGGAACGCACGTTGTTGTCTCAGGCTTTGTTCCAGCATCCTAAGCCGAGGAGTCTCGCCTTTAGTGATGCCGGAGGTGCCGGCGTCTTTCTCCCCCAGGAGCTCGCAGCTGTGCTTCAGCTGGGCGGCGATGGCGTCTTTCAGACACCGGAAGTGCCGGGACATCGCCCTCTGAGCCAGCGATGTGTACGGCACCGCCGCCCCGAACCCCATCACCAAATCGAACGAATTCACCACCATTTGCATTTGCTCGCAGTAATGGCTGTACCTTCTGTCCACCTGAACCAATTAAAACCATGATACTAAATTAGTTAAATACTAAATTAATCTAATCCATTAACGTAAGACTATTTTTTTTTAAAAAAAAAATGGGAAACAGATATGGTATCTCATTGATTTGAGGTTTCAACCGCCAAATGTTATATTTAACTAAAAAAAAAACTATGTATAGTAACCAAAAACTTTATTCCTATGAACAGCCAATATAATCTCCCCAGGCCATGTTCTTTGCCTGCCTGTCTGCTGGTGTGTTCCCACTCAATACAGCCAAAAACTCACAGTAAATATACACAAAAAGAAAAAGGAAAAAGTGATAATAAAAAAAGACGTAATTTTGAAGTATAAACACTATGTGACACTGTAATAATTTAGTAGCAAGTTCTTTGATTTACTAAAATATTAATTAATTTGAAAGAAAATAAGAAAATAATATCATCAATTTCTGTGATTGTAAGTACCAATGTGTCCGGTCCTATAATAGTTAATAACTCAATGATTAGTCTCGTGCCTTACCAAATGAACAAAAATTGTAATTAATACTCCACCAATGGGATTATTAATTATAAAATTGAGAGATAATCAGACACGACCAAGACCAACTCAATCCGAAGAAACTAACGTGTGTCACCAGCCGGCCGGCATTCTTGTATTGTCTGGTCTTTAAAATTATTATTATTATTATATATTCTTCAATTCCCGAAACTCGCCGGAATATGTATATGAAGTTAGTAAACAAGAAAGCAATGATTGGGTGGGAATAATAAAGTGGGTATGGTAGATTATTTGCAGAAATTATGAATGATAGCAGGCGTACCTCGTCAAGCATGGATAGGAGTTTGACTTTCCGGCGTTGATGTTCGAGGCGATCTGAGGGGGATAAGGGAGGAGGATCCTTTGAGGAAGAAGGGGAGGTGGAGGTGTTGGGATTGGAATTAGGGTTTTGGGTGGCGGCGGCGTTGATGAGTTTTCCGGTCTTCTGGTTCTTGAGTTGACCTCTACCGACGCTGCAGAATTCTTCTAACAATTCTTGGGCGGGTTTGGCGTACTTGGAGTTTCTCAGTGCATTCACGATTCCTAGAGAAGACCCGAAGTGGACTTGGTGGTTTTGGCCTACTAGGCCGCCGCCGGGGAGATTATGCAGCGTTTGGAGAAATTGGTGTCCTCCGGCGGCGGCGCCACCGCCGCTAGTGAGATTTAGAGTTTTGTTGTATGGGTATTGAGCGGAGGCGGATCCGGGTGCAGCTTGACTGAAGAATAGCATTCCGCCGTCTTCGCCCATCCGGAGCTCCTCGGCTTTAGCGGCTTCCAGGTGTTGTAAGGAAGACGACAGGGATAACGACAGGCCTTGAGCTTCGACAACGTTGACGCCGCCGATTTCCGCGGTGTTTGCGGGTCCTCCGCCGTTGCTGCTATCCGGAATCCACGTGAATTGACCGAAAGGACCTCCCGGTTGGGTGTGAAACCCTTGGAGAGTGGAGGTGGGCGAGGGATTAGGAAGTAACATGTGCAACGTGGACGGCGGCTGGTGGGGGTGAGACGGCGACGGCGACGGCGACCTCGGCTGTGGATTCATGAGGAAAAGCTGCATGTCCGCCACCGCCGCCGCCGCATTAATCCCCGACATATTTTGTTGTTGCTGATGACTAGGATTCTTCCCATACCACTCGCTCCCTATTCCCGGCGGCCGAGGATTCGCGTTCCGATAACTCTGAGATATCTGATTCTCCAGCAACTCCGTCGCCGTCCCCGCCTGAAAATTAAACATCTCAGACAACATTCCAGCGGTCTCGTATACCTGAAGCCCACCGGCCTGTTCTTCCTCTATCCCAACCAAAGGCGGCGGCGGCGGCTCAAACCCTTGCACCCTCATCTTCTCCCTGCGAATATGCTGAGCTACATGTTGCTGCTGCTGCTGCTGTTCCGCCGGCGATCTCTCGAACCCATTCGAGAAACTGAAGATTCCTGTTGGATGAGTATGAGGATGATGATGATAATCTCCAGACATAGAATAACAATCGGAATTTCGCCTTTTCTGGGCAAGAATAACAAGAATTCTCAAGCTTTCTTCTTCATCTTCTTAAGAACGTAACCCTTTTTCCCAGGTCTAATCAGCTGAAGAATTAATTAAGCAAGGATCGGTCACAAAAAAATTATCATAAAAATACAGGAAAGAGATCACAACAAGAGCTTCTAAATGAGAGTGGAGCAAGAAGGGGAAGAGGGGAAGAGAAATCATGAAATTAAATTATAAAAAAAAAAGGGCAATTGTTCTTTTTATTTCAAAAAAATTTCTTATCATTTGCAGAGAAATGAAATTCAGCTTTATTCAAGTACGCACTTAGAGTTGCAGTAAAAGGGTTACAAAGGCTCTCAGGTATCGTTTTCTTCCGCTTCTCCTCAAAACAATTCTTCTTTTCTCTCTCTCTATCTCTGTCGTCGTCTGTCGTTCCTGAGGCTGTCGTTTCGCTCGCTCTATCCCTTTCTCTCTCTCTCTTTGTTGCTCTTTGCCCTCATCACTGCTTTCTTTCTGCAACCCAGAAAGAATATTATAAAAGTAAACAAGAAAATTGCAATTAATTATATTATATATATACACACAAAATAGATAAGACCTTGAGATATAGAGAGAGAGAGGGAGAAAGAGAGAGGGGGGAGTATTTAGAAGAAAATTTGCACCTGAAAGAAAGGAGAGGGCGGAGTAGAGGACTGAGCAGAAATTAAGAAAGAGAGAAGAGATTGAAGAGAAACAACCTTAAAAAAAACAAAATTTTAGTCCAAAGGAGGAAATTAAAATTAAAATTAAAATAAATTAAACCTGGTAATAATTAATTAATTATTAATTAATTAATGGGTGAGATTTTTTACACAATCACCAAAGTAACCTCCGTATTCACACAGCACATTGATGACTGATGACTGTGTTCACCAAACCTCCAATGGCTCCGGATATAAAGAAAAAGACACAACACAGGCTACCAAATGGTCGAGAGTTTTTGTCTTCTAATTAACAATTAATAATGTTTTTTTATGTGAAAAGTAAAATCCGTAAGGCTTAAACCACTATTTGATAAACTTTATTTTTAAGTGATAGTCCGTAAATCACATAGCAGAAGAAAATCGCATGACTTGACCAAGAATTATTGGGGAATTTGGTAAATAGTTGTTAGCTGGTTGAGTTAATGAGTTTAATTAATTGATAATATTAGCTCATTGTAGAAAAATGTTTGGTAAATTAGCTGTTAGCTAATAGCTTATTACGATCCTGTGTGGTAAAACAGTTAGCTTTATCATCAAATTTTGGCTTATTTGAGTACATTGTCTAACTCAGTTAATTAGTTTTTTTGTAACTCCAAAATGGTAAAATTCAAAAAGCTGCTCAAAATAACTTTTTTTCAATTAGTTTTTTGATAAAAGAAATTATATCAAACAACTAACAACTAATTTTCCAAACACCTTTCTACAATCAGCTAATGTTATCAACTAGTTATACCCTCTAATTAATCCAATCAGGTAACAGCTAACAACTATCAGCTATCAACTAATAGGCATTTACCAAACAGGGTACATGCAAATTGCTTTCTCAAAAAGCTGATCGAAAAAACAGCTTTGAGCAGCTTTTTGAATTTCAGCATTTAATTTTAACATTTTGGAGCAATAAATTGTTACAAAAAAAAAAAAAATCAAACACTCATATTGATTAATTAATCAAGTCAAACATTTAATATTGGTCAAATAAACCAAAATTGATTGATAAGCTAATTATGTTACCAAACAAGTTTTATATGCACTAATTTTTATTTTTATTTTGCTAATATTACTTATGAGCTTACTTATGATATCATCAATTTAACTAATGGCATTTAATAATTAGTATGTGCCAATATTTTAATATAAGACAAAACTATATATTTGACAAAGTATTACATTTACTTTAAATATTAATGATTAAATGCTTACCACTGTACTATACCAACCGTGTAACTAATAGGGATTGACAACATAAACTAATATCTACTAATTCACCTGATAAATATTAGAAAAATATTGTTATACTTGATTTAGTCAAGTGAATATGATTTAATGAACCGGATTTGGTGTATATAATATTTTTTTAAAAAATAAAATAAAGTGATGTGTACAATAATATATGAATATATGCTACAGTATTTATTATTATATAAGTATAAATGGGGGTGGGGACCCATAATTCGTGACCAAATGGCATTTGAATTAAGTCCATGTGGTTCACTACGAATCAATAACTCACCCATATTATAAAGATCGAACCATATAAAATCAGCTTAAAAGATGTGATTGAGTAGGTGAAACATGATTCTTATATCATAAGCTTATAAGTTTAGGTTTTGCCAACTTTTTATAATAAAATTGTACCTTAATTACTAGCTAGTTATATATATATATATATATATATATATATATATATATATATATATATATATATATATATATATATATATATAGTTTAATGATAAACGCATAATCTAATTGTTGGTATCATATCACTAGTTATAACTCTTTATTTTATTTTGTATATAGCATCTAGTATCCCATTATTGTGAGAATAATCCAGATTCAAATTGAGTTGTGTTTGTAGAATTTGACTCTTACTCAAACATCGAACCTTGTAATTGCATTAGTAATCTGCTTACTATTTTCTTAAAATTACTAGGTTACTAGTTACTCCGTATAACTCCCGCTTTTGTGTAGTAGCCGACAAATTAAAATACACAAAAGAGTTAAATTACATTAGAAAAATTATATGTGATTGGTTAAATCGAGAGGGTGCATGTTGACAATAATTAAACTTATGACCTTTTAGTACGAGAATCATGTTTCACCACTCAATTACTCTTTTCGAAACATTATTTCATATGACTTTTGATTTTGATCCTTAATTACCATATGTCAATTAATGATTAATCACAAAAAGAACCTTATCGTTAACCAATAATTAATCAACACATTATATTGTAGAACGTACATTGGCTTTCGTCTAGGTAGGATTTTATTTATTAAAAGAAAAAAAGAAACGAGGATGCACAATTTTGAGACGACTTCATCTTAAATCATTTTATAAAGCGTTAATCTATCATTATCATAATTAAGCCAATCAACACGAAATGAAAGTCTCTATCGAAATTAATTAGATTACACTAATAATGGTCCCATCGCTAATGCAAGACATATTGTCAGTTTACGACAAATTCATCTTAATCAATACGAAACTTGGAACAGGAAAAGGATAAGGTGGATTATATATTGTACACCTACATAAGATTCACCTTTGTAACATTAAAAACATGTACCAGAAATTTAGTACTAGGAAAAATCTTCTATTCTCTTCTGATTAGGTGACTACAAGTTTTTATAAAGAAAATTTAAGCCATGAAAAAAAAAATCTATATATGGTGAATTTGATAGTGTGACAACCCATTTGATTCAGGGAATAAAGATAGATATTTCATCGATTGTCATTTGTTCACTCTTAATGGTTAATTGTTTTAGTGCGACTTAACTTACCATATTTCTAGTAGTCGTTTTCTTGTCTTTTCTATTGTGTTTGAAGAAACACCCTTGCGAAATCTCTCCCCTGAATGGAATTTGACTGAGTGTCGATCATACTAGTTTCACTCCATAGAGTGTGAATACTAAATAGCTTGTGACAGTTGGTAATTAAGAAGACTATTAATGTAATTGCAAGGCTTTCTGAGCATACCCCTTTTTCTTTAAGATATATAAATTTTATATACTAATACTAAATTTAATATCTTAAAATTTTAAATTAAAAATAACTTCAGTCAAGCCTTAGGTTGTTAATCGAACAGAAACATAAAATGGGGCGGAGAGAGTTTTTTTTTTTGTTTTTTTGTTTTTTTTTTTTTGTTTTTTTGTTTTTGTTTCCTGGTAAGAGAAACCCTGCAACTATCCAAGAATGTGCATTCGGTAAACTTCACTCTTGTTTAATAGTATATAAATTATACATAAGATGTAAATCGTACTAGAAAGACGTATACAGACTCAACCAATATGAAAAGTTAATAGGTTGTTATTATGTTCACCTGATTAATACGTGAATGGGATATTTTAGTCCATATGTAAAGATGGTATTTCGTCTTTGTTTATTTAGAGTTATTATGATTGTTACTTTTGATCGATTTAGTGCTTAATTAAAAATGTCAATTATATTTTATTTACCTATTAATTAATATAATAATTGAATTTTAGTGTATAGATAGGGATAAAGGCAATGACATAGGGAAAGAACTCATAAAAAATATTACTCAATAATTTGGTTGGTTTAATATGATTCATCACCATCATACTCTCTGTTGCCCTTTTGTTTATTTATTTATTTATACAAAAGGTCAATTAATTAAGCGGTTAAACCCTTTCGATGAAGATTATTACAGGTAATTGACGACTAACAATCGGTCACCGATTTTGTTTGTCGAAACTTTAATAATTGGTTATTACAAATGTATAGTCAGTTCTTAGGTATTGATGCACGAAAATAACTTATTGATGTGTTTAATTGTAACTTTTAAAAGTTTAGGGTCTAATTAACTTTTTGTATAAAGTTCAGGGATGTTTTTGAATATTTTTCCTTTATTTATTAATTAACAATTATTTCAATTTGTGGAGTTACTATAATAGCCAGACTCTGGTGGGCAAAAGAGGAAAGAAAGAGAAAAAGAGGAAAAGACTAAAGTGAAATGCCGAAAGAAGATTAGGAGAGTGCAATAAGTGAAGAGAAGGGTGGCATTGTGGACCTGATGGCCACACTTAACTAATTTACGGTTTGGCTTTGCCAATAAACATACTCCACATATGGCCATTAATTACACAATTGTTTTTGGATCACATATACCTACTACATACGTATAATAAATATATAATTTATTCGACACTAGTTATAATTTTTAGTGTAATAATAAGCGTTTCATCTAAAAATTATATTGTGTAGAGAAAATTTAGTTATCCTAACTTCATTTATATTTGCGTTAGTTTTTCCTATTTTATGCTACTTGCGTAGTACATACCTACTCTGATATCAATTTTCATTGTTCTCAAAAGGTTGAATCCCCAACCCCAAGGCCCGACAGAGCATATTTTCATTGTTCTCAAAAGGTTGGATCTCCTACCCCAAAGCCCGATGTAAATCAGCTGAACAGAGAGGCTGGAGATCTTTAATTTGTTTATTATGCACAAGGAGCTCCCCTCACTTTGAGAGGTTACTCTCACACTGCCGTTAATGAGACTCGATCCCGAGTATTGTTCCCAAACTTCACCAATGTGACCAACTAAGCTGCCCATACGGGCTCTAATATCAATTTTAATTTCAAGATCAAGTGCTTACCACTACGTTCAAAGTTATAGCTAGTAACGAAGACTAAATTTTATTTCTTTATACTTGCATAACAGTCAGTACTATTGTCTCATGGCAGGATGCTGAACTCAGATTTTCGAGCCGCAACCCACAATGTAAAGTACTTTTTGTTGGGAGATTATTAGGTGTTGGGTAGAGGTCGGTAGGCCAAAAATCTGATGTGAATTTGAAAGTGGCGTTGACTGATACGCACCTATAAAGAAATTAATGTACGTGTTATTAGGTATATTAGTAGTTATAGATAAGTTTTAGCGTTGTGATATGAGTGAATTAAGAATATAAAATTGAGAGAATGTTAGTATTGTGCATCTGAAATTGTAATCAGACGACGGCAGGGTTGAAAGGGACACCAAATAGAAAGTTTGTCTTATAACAGGAAATAATATCGACAATCATTTATTTTTACCAAGTGATGAAAATGCCATTTCAAACTTACAGCAAGCTGTCACAATGCCTGACATTTTAATGCTCATCCATACATAAATACTAATGTTTTTTTTTATTT